CCGTTAATTGTCTATGTGTTGTCGTTAATTACGTTGAAAAGTGTCTAAGCATGGTTTCGGGTTCCACAATGGTTCCCGGGACGAAAAGTGGTGAAAAGAGTCAGTGGGGGGTAGGTGGGGGGTAGGGGACCCACCACCTACCCGCGGCAATTCGGGCAGCTCCGGCAGCGGGCAGCCGGCGGGCGGGCAGCTGCCCGCCGGGCACCCGCTGCCCGGAACAGTGTTACCGGCGGGCAGCCGGCAGGTGGACCCCCACCCACCGGCTACCCGCTGGAATCTTCCCCCCCTCGGGACCCCGGCTTCCCCGTTTGATGTTTCCCCGATCCCCGTGGTGTCCCAACGGACCCCGCTTGTCGTGCCTATGTCTAGTTTGATGTTTCGGGTACCATTCGTAGGTTTATGAGTCTATTATCTTGCATGCTAGTTGAATTGGTATCCCGTTGACCTAGGTGAAAGAAGTATGAACCTCTTAGGACTATTCTTAGTATGTGATGGATCACGCATAGGTTTGTTATACGCTTTATCCCCTTGCCAAGGTGTAATGTGGGTTGCATGTGCTTGCTATGTGTTATATGTGTGTGTTACCCCAATTCGGTTGCGATCGGATTGGTTATCCTGAGCTGCGGTTCAGAAGCCGGCTACAGTCAGATGGGAATTCCTGGCTGCAGTCGGATGACGGTATCCTGGGCTGCGGTCCAGAAGCTGGTTGTAGTCAGATGGGAATTCCTGGCTGCAATCAGGTGACATCTTTCCTGAGCTGTGGTTCAGAGGCTGGCTGTAGTCAGATGGGAATTCCTGGCTACAGTCAGATGACACACTCTCTTGGGCTGCGGTCCACTGTTTGGTTGCGATCAAACATTATGATGAGCTGCGGTTCATCGGTCGGTTGCGATCGACCTCCCCGTGTTGCGATACGGGGTATGGTGCTGTGGGGCCGTGTCAGAGCTATATGCGCTGACCCGCATGTATGGGCATGCGAGTGGTCCTGTGGCGCCAACAACGTGCGTTATGTGTTGTGACATGGACGAGTTGTGATTATGAGTGTCTGGGGGATGTGATTATGGGATTTATATTGGGGATTGTTCATATTGGGTTATGATCATTGTTTATGCTCTGCCTTATCTGCCTTATCTGTTGTGAACTGCATATGCTCGTTATAACTGTTGCTTGTGTCTGACCTTATCTGTCGAGTCATTCCCGGTTTTAAAGCTAGAGTTCGTAGGGTATATCTTCATGCTCAAAATGGTTTTCGTATATCTATATATATCTCTATATGTATTGTATTTCAACGCGTTGGAGTGGGTTACCAGCATCTCTCGCTGAACAGATATATTTGGCTTTCAGGCACAGAAGATTAAGTCACTGGAGTGCGTTGGAACTTAGAAGTAGATAGTTTCCCTTTGGCCTGCGTGCCACGTTTACGTATTTACACTTTGAGGAGATTAGTTAGTTAGCCTGTGCACTTGGGTTCTCTAGCCCAGGTGTGGCATAGCACCCCGAACACTTGTATTTATATCTTGAGATTTAATAAGATTCTACCTTTATTATAAGTTTTAAATGTCTTGAAAATCTGGGGTGTTACACCTTTGGTGTTCAAGTGTATGAGGGATAGAAGAGATCCCAAACCGCATTGGCCTCCTTTTCTTTGAATTCTGGCTCATTAAAGAGCTTCAACCTTTGCCCATTGACCATAAAAGGATCTCCCGACTTAGCCACAATTGAAACGGCGCCCGATGGGTAATGTTCCACTACTCGGAAAGGGCCCGACCATCTTGACTTGAGTTTACCGGGAAACAACTTGAGCCTTGAATTGTAGAGTAACACTTGGTCCCCCGGTTCAAAGTTCCTTCTCAAAATTCTCTTATCATGAAAGTACTTGGTCCTTTCCTTGTAGATCCTTGCATTTTCATAGGCATCCATTCGGAACTCTTCAAGCTCATTCAATTGTAACAACCTCTTTTCTCTTGCCGAGTCCTCATCCAAATTCAATCTTGAAACCGCCCAATATGCCTTGTGTTCATACTCAACCGGCAAATGACATGACTTCCCGAACACAAGTTTAAACGGAGAAACACCAATAGGAGTCTTGAATGCGGTCCTTAGGGCCCATAGTGCATCATCTAGCTTCAAAGACCAATCCTTTCTTGTTGGACTCACCACTTTTTCAAGAATAGATTTGATTTCCCTATTGGCCAACTCTACTTGCCCACATGTTTGTGAATGGTAGGGCGTAGAGAGCCGGTGATGAATACCATACTTGAGAAGAAGTTTCTCCAAAAGCTTGTTGCAAAAATGTGTGCCATTGTCGGTTATGAAAGCTCTTGGCATGCCAAACCGGGAGAATATATTCTTCTTGACAAACTTGAGCACGGTCTTTGAGTCATTCCTCGGAGTTGCAATTGCTTCTACCCACTTTGACACATAATCCACCGCTACAAGGATATACTCATTCCCAAAAGAAGGAGGAAACGGTCCCATGAAGTCTATCCCCCACACATCAAACAACTCCACTTCAAGTATACCCTTTTGAGGCATCTCATGTCTTCTTCCAATGTTGCCGGTCCTTTGGCAATTGTCACACTTACGCACAAATTCTCTAGCGGTAGCAAACAAAGTAGGCCAAAATAAACCGGATTGTAGCACTTTTAGAGCCGTGCGGTCGGCACTCATGTGTCCTCCATATGGTGAAGAGTGGCAATGGCTCAAAACACTTAGAAATTCCTCCTCCGGTATGCTTCGGAGCTTGCATCATATTCTTGAGCATGTGTTGAATTGAATCCAATTGAGCTTGCATGGCCATCTTTTCTTCAACCTCAAACATCCCGACGGTTTTTTCTTTCTTGGGTGGGTCACTTCTTTCATTATACCAATATGCCGTGTTAGAAGTGATCCTCTCAATCAATTGTTCACCATACTCCGGACCCATATCAATAAAAATGCCTCCAAATGAAGATGTGTCAAGAATGGTTTTTGAGCTGTCCAACAATCCCTCATAAAAGGATGAGATGAAATCCCCCGGAGTAAGCAAATTCTTTGGACATTGTCTTCTCAACTCCTTAAATCTTTTCCAAGCTTCATACAAATTCTCATTTCCAAATTGTTGGAAATTTTGAATTTGTTTCTTCAATTTGGCGGCCTTGGAAGGAGGACAATACTCTTGCATGAAGGCCTTGTAAAGTTGTTCCCAAGTTGTGAAATGGTTGGCCGGAAAGGAATTGAGCCAACTCAATGCTTGGTCTCTCAATGAAAAAGGGAATAACCTCAACTTGATTGCATCACTAGGAATCCCATTCATCTTGATTGTTTGACAAATCCGATCAAAGTGGACAACATGAGCCTTAGGATCCTCAACCCTTGAACCTCCAAATTGATTGGCTTGAACCATTTGGATAAGAGAAGTCTTGAGTTCAAAATTGTTGGCATCCACCCCCGGGTAAACAATGCAATCCTCTTCTTCAAACTCCGGAGCTAGATGGGCCGCCATGGGTTGTCTTTGTGGAACACCTTGATAAAAAATAGGAGGAACTCCTTGTGGAAAGTTTTGAGGCATGTTGAACATAGGATTGACAAAGTTGGGGTGCATTTGATGAAGAAGATTTTGCATACCAACCCCTTGACCTTGTTGTTGTTGAGGTTGCCCATAGCCTTGAGGAATGCCCCCTTGATTCATGTTAGGATAAAATGGGTATTGAGCTTGTGGAAACCCTATTCCTCCTCCAACATAAGGATTGACATTAGGATTTGCCATGAAGTCTTGTGCCGGTAATTGAACGGGAGCAATTGGCACTTGAGAGACATTAGCATGAGCTTCATTGAATTCCCCTTGTCTCGGGCTATGTTGGGTGCTTGTATCATTGGGTGAGATTTGACCGGGATTGCTAGTGTCACCCGTCTCCATGTTTATCTCCAATGATTCAAACTCCTTCAACCAACCGAGCAAGTCTCTTCTTTGTCTCCTTAGCTCCCTTGAGAGTTCTTGGTTGAAAGGGTGAAGGTCTTGGCTCCCTTTAGACCTAGTTTGCATGCACCAAGAGAAGTACCTATAACCAAACTCAAGCAAAGACAACCTTGGAAGCACTTAGTCACAATTTAAAACAAACAAACAAAGGAAAATAAAAGAAAATAAAAACCTGATCTCCTTAGAGTCCACTAACTCTAATGCTAGAAAGACAAAGCAATCACACAATACAACCAAATAAACCAATCCCCGGCAACGGCGCCAAAAAGTTGATGTACGGGAAAGAGATGGTGAGTAACGGGTGTAAATTGTCGTTCCGCAAGGGATTGGGACTATGACACGTACTTGAGTGACAACTAAAATTCTAGGCACCAAAGTATTGGAACCCACAAGAATCCAAGCAAATTCAAATTCATGGTTGGGTAAAGTTAATAATTAAAGGCTAAAAATCTAGTTAAGACAATGCAATTTAAACACAAGTAAACACAATGATAAAAGATGGGCTCAAATTAGGGGATGTTGCCTTCTAGATGCTTTAACAACTTAGGGATTAGGAGAGAACATCAACCAAGGGAACACAAGGGCAAGCACATAAAAATCCTAGCTTAAAGCCATTTTCATAAGCTAATAAACAAGGATTAGAGCAAGGATTGCCCCACTTTCATGGTGTATCAAATCCTAGCTCTTAAAGCACATAAGCTTTTAGGCCCCCAATTCTTCCCTATTTTCATAGAAAGAAAATGGGTTTAGAGAAAGGAGAGGCTTAAATTCTTCCCCCAACTTTCATTGTGGAGAAAAACTATCCAAAAGCAAGTTAATAAGAGTTACGTACCAAATATTAACAAGATTCAACATAAATCCTTCACAAACAAATGAACCCTAGGTTAGATATCTTCCCCCTTATGCAATAATCACCTATTTAGCATCTAGGTTGGCAATATCACCCTAATCCGAGCCCAAAAACGGACTACTCACACTTCATAAGCATAAATAACAACAAAGCACAAGAAAATATCATAAACATTGCACAAGAGCTTTAAAAGAAGAGTAAGAAGCTTCTCTATTGAAGATGAAGAAATTGTGGTTGAATCCCACTCCAATCCGCGTTTACAAGCTTGCTAGATGAGTTAGAGATGTAATACTAGACTAGTCTAAGCTAAGGAAGTCTAAGGAAATGAAGAGAAATGAGTTCTAGCTATTTAGGGTTCTAACTTCCTCCAAAAATCCAAGAAAATTGCATAAATATTTTACAGAGCACAGAGGTACTGCCTTAGGGATGGCCATCCCTGAGGCAGTACGATTTAATCTTGGTTCACTGGAAAGGGCGTACGGGCATACGTATGGGCGTACGGCAGGGCGTACGCCACCTGCTTCTTTTTTGAGATCTTGGATGGGCTGACGGATGGGCGTACGCAAGGGGGTACGAGGCTGCTGAAAATTCTTAAATGCATTCCAAACTCTTTGATTGATCTCTTGGTCCCAAAATTGCTCGTATCTTCCCACAAATCATTGAATTCCTCACTTGTTGTGAATGATTGTACCTTGAAATAAAACCAACATAACTTAGTCACAATTCACACAAGGTTTTAGGATATTCACATATAAAAAGGGTTCAAGAAGGGGTAAAAATATAGACAAAAATGCACTTATCAGTATGCGGTTCGGTGGAGCTGGAACTTGAAGTGGAATTAGAACTGCATGCTCGGGAATCATGTCGTTGACTACTTATGAATCTGTTGAAAGCTTGAATGGCTTCATCCCTCGAGTTGTATGATTTATACAAGTTGTCGCTTTAGCGATGCACTTGAGTTTTTGCATCCTCCCAATTGTCATATATTCCCGGTTGGCGACCAACAAACACAACATACGTTTTACCTTAATAAAAATCATATTCCTGTTAAAGACGGAATTTTAATTAAAATAAAAAAATAATAAATAAAACTATACCGTACCATAGGAATTGTTCCGACGACGATGATGAATGCTTTGAAGTTGTAGAATGGGAACTGCAATCTGAGCAAGTAATCTTCAATGTGAGCACGTAGCGGTGATGTAGAGCAGGCTATAAATAAGCTTATAAAGAAATTATGACAGAATATATTCCCTTAGATTGGTTTTGAGAAGTAGCTCATCGTGAAGAATATGTTTGGAGTTTGTTGGAAAGAATATATTCCATTACAAGCGGAACACGGGCAGTCCACAAAATCCTCCCCGCTTTGCAATATGGGGGCAAGGCATCGAGATAGTCATCGTAAGAGGTGAAATTAAACTGCATAGAAAATATAAATGTCACGATGTTAACATAAATTACGCAGTGTATAAAATATGAACTGACTAAAATAATATTCCATGTAAAGGTATTCATATTAATAAAATCACTTACTCTATGTTCAGCTACGCGATCTAATTGATCGCGATAGACTACGACAGTGTGCGTAGTCACTGATAACCAAGAATGCCGACAAACCCGCCTAAAACAATGTCAAAGTAAATAAATACTACTACTTCAATATTAAAACATTGATGCAGCCAATTTAGAGATCGTTACCTGTATGCAATAGGGTAGTCAGCGATTTGGTTGCGCGGCAATACACCTTTCGGCTGAAACATAGGCAGCCTCTCCCATGCCCAAATCTGGACTAGAAGAAGACACCCATACACTGTACGTTTGTCGGCTTCGGAAGCTCTACACAACGCCCTGTAAAGACATCCCAGAACAACCGAACCCCAAGAATATTCACCACAAAGGTACAGATTACTAACGTACGGGAGCAAGTACAATTTATATTTCCCTTTGGTTGCGTCTGGAAATAAAAAACCGTTTAATAAATAATATATAAAATGTCGGGCTGCCAACAACACTTCTTCGTCTGTGTTCTCCGCATGAAGAGCCTGAACGTCCGGGACAGCTAACCCGTGAATCATGGTGGTTGACATGAACCTATTGGCAGGCTCAAATCCCAACAGCTGATGGCACATTAACTTTACTTCTTCTGGAGTGCCAATTGTATCCTCACCCGTCACCAAAAGTCCATCGACCTTAAGACCGAATAACACTTCAACATCTTGAAGAGTTATTCCAACCTCACCGAAGGGCATGTGGAAAGCGTGGACCTCCGGCCTCCATCGCTCTAAAAGGGCGGTAATAAGCCCATGATCCAACTGAATTTTGGGCAACTGAGAAACACCATACAAACCAGCGATTCGCAGCCACATTTTGACTCTATCATCATTCACGGTCGCACACCTAGTCAACATATCGTATTTAACGGCTTTAAGTTGGACGTCATACGTTGGATCCGTCCAAATTGCTCTACTACGGTGACGGGTTTAAAATGGTAACGCACCCTCCTGTAATGGCCCAGGATGCACTCGGTCATTTGCCATACCTGTATCAAAACAATTCATAATACTTACAAATTAAAAACATTAAAACAACTTCGAATAACAAGTTACGCAATTAACAACATGGCAACCCGATACTCGGACCATTTTGGTCCGAATTCGTGGAGAGTGCATATGTAGTTTACATATTTCAAGTACATAAATAAAATATGTACGAGGCATAATCAAATATATGTAAACTGTATTTTAAATATGTATATTTTTTAAAGTCTCAATTTCATCTTCTCTAACTAATTTTTTTTTTTTTTTTTAAAAGCCAAATGGTCCAAGTTTCACAAAATAATTTTTTTATAAATCAGACCAAAAAGGTCCGAATTACAATTTTTTTTAAAAATTGTAAAACTCGGACCATTAGGGTCCGAGTTTTACATATAATTTATGATGTTCGAATTACAACTTTTGTTTAGTACTACATGCTCAACAATTGCTCACATCTCAAGTTGATAAAGACATAGTTGTGTCTGTTTAAATAGTTCATTTTTTTTTTCACTTTCTTTTTTCATATTCATTATTTGGCAAAAAATTTTTGGAAATTTACCCAAAATTTTGAGCACACTCAGTTATCTCTTTTTGTTTTGTTTGTTTTTTTTTTTAACAACAAAAAATATATACACCTCATTTAAAAAAAAAAAGAGTAAAAAAATATGTCAACTACAAGTAATTACAGTAGCTATATACAACATTTTTTTTTTTTTTTGTTAAATAAATGTTATAAACACTACATACATCAAAGTCCGAATTTATTTTCCTAAACTTCATTTTACCGCTAAAACAAGAAATAATATGCTACAATGCGATATAATCTACAATAAAACAACATAACAAAATAATAATTCTATTAACTCAAATATAATTTTTTTTTTTTTTACCTCAATAATGCGAAACTGTAGAGAAGATGCGGTATAGAGAAGATGCTTGGAAAGATGCAGTGTTGATCCAAACTTGATGCTTGAAAAGTGGCTTGGGAAGAAGCTTTGAAGATAACAACAATTGAGAAGTGGCTTGGGAAGAAGCTTTGAAGATAACAACACTTGAGAAGTGGCTTGGGAGATATTTGGGAAATGCTTTCAAGATAAAACAAATGCTTGAGCAGTGGACTCCGAAAGAGAGAAATGCTATCTGTTATACTACCAAAGTGGACTCCCAAGCTTTGAAGACCATACATTTATGAGCATAAATCCGAAAAAGCATGCATGCATTAGTAACATCAGTTGTTGAGTCCGAAAAAGCACCTAGGGAACACAATTTGTGATTTACGAAAAAGTAACATTGGGAAGAGAAGAAAGATAAAAGGTGATGTTGGTGTTTGGGAAGAGAATGGCGGTTGTTGGGAAATTAATAATGTTAGTCAACCGACTTTGTTGGGAAATTAATTGTAAAATTCGGATGTTCTTCGTCTGACTTTCTATTTTTCATGCATGCATATATGGTATCCACCCCTAAATTCTGCATCACCGGCAAATACACCCTCATGTCTACCCACATCACATCCTTGACCAAACGCAGCGCATCATCCAGAGTCTGACCACCCATTTCGTGCATGAGCGCCGCCGCAGCGAAACGATCCGTGACTTTGTTCTATTCACGGGGCACATGTTTGAAAACCACAGCCTGAAACTTATGACGTTCACGAGTACACAGCTGCAGGATGTTGCATCCTATTCCAGGCTCCGAGACGTCTTCGGAGAGGCTCTTTATCGTACCCAATGAATCACTCTCAATGATAAGCTTCCGTGCTCCCCAACTCGCTGCTAGCCGCATCCTAAGAAGCACTGCCCATCTCTCTGCATGTTCGGCTGAGCATGAACCAATGTTATACGTGAACCCTCGTAGCCAATTCCCCAGGTGATCAAGAAGGACGCCACCACAACCCGCCTTCGCGCCCGCGTGTTTGCAGCTGCTATCGGCGATGAGCTTCAGCCATCCCTCCGTCGGCTTCTTCCACCCAATAGGCTCTGTTCTTGGATTATGAACGTTAATCATTGGAGCCCATTTGTTCTAAAAAGTCGCTCGAATGTCATTCCTCTGAGCAACGATCCAAGCATTCCGTTGATCGAGACTAATACTTTTGTCTGCAAAAACTCTATCGTTTCGTCACCGCTAGCATTACCAAAAGCATATGCCAAAGGTCACCGGCCAATCCTCCTCAAACCCCATCGAGTTGGTTGCCCGCAAGTTTACAGACAACCACTCTTCCCATCCTTTCGACAGAAGTCTGTGCGTGACCCCTCGGGGCATGAACATTTCCCAGAATCCGGCCACCTCCGTGCATCCTTTGAAAATGTGATCTGAGATCTCCAGCGTACCTGCACAATAAAACATCTGATTAGTCGTAAAATGCCTCTTGTAGCGCTCCACATTAGTCATTAATTTTCCCTGTTTCACCAGCCATAAGAAGTGGTTCATTTTGCTTGGGATTCTAATTCTCCAAATTCTCTCCCAATCTTTATCCACCTGAATAGTAGGCCTTGAGCTTAAAGCTTTGTAAACCGAATGCACAGAGAATCTCTCGCTCGTTTCTCTAGAAGAACAATTGCATGGAGCTTCGCCTTCCATGCCTCATCTAGAACCCCGTCCAGCAGCTCCCATTTCCACCCTGTCCATGTTCCCAATACTCTGCAACATATGCGTATAACTCCGGGACACTCACAAGCTTGCGCATATGATCAAAAAGCCTTTGTCCGAAGATCCAAATATCCATTCAAAATCGCGTATCCTTCCCATTACGCACCACCCGCGTTAGTCCTTGTTCGAGAATAGGTGCAGCTTTGTGAATCCCTCTACGTGGATTCAAAGTTTTCTTGCTCATGTTCGCCCTCCTCTCCGTGTCATATTTGCCGGCTAACACCTTAGCCCACAAGCTGACAGGTTCCACTTTCATCTGCCACCCTAGCTTTTCCATAAAAGGCCATATTCACATTCTGAAGCTTCTTAAATCCTAACCCACCATCTGATTTAGCTGTCGTGACTGTCTCCTATTTGACCAGACTCGTCTTTCGCGTTTTGCCGTCACCTCCCCAAATGAACCTCCTGGTTATGGCTTTTTTAGCTTTTGGCATATACCTTGAGGCAGGAGTTTATTTTGCATAGTATACGTAGGAATGACACAGAGGATGGATTTTGCCAAAGTGACCTGTCCAAAAAGAGTTAAGGTTTGCCCTCTCCAACCGTCTATTCTAGCTGCAACCCGGAGAACGTAGCATTCGTTGTCCGGCGGTGAAACAATGGAACACCCAAATATCTGCCCAGGTCTATGGTTATCGTGATGTTTAGACTGGCGGAAATCGCTGCCTTCAAGTCTGGCCCCGTGTTCTTGAAAAAGAAAACCTAAGATTCACTCAGGCTGATTCGTTGACCAGAAGCCTCGCAGAAGCGTTCCAAGCACTGCCTAATGGTATTAAGTATTAACCTACTCTAGAGTCGCCTCCGAAAAAAGAACCATGTCGTTTGCAAAACATAAATGAGAAAGCGTCGGGCCTGTTGTGGATAAACCGATTCCTTTCCATGCCCCCTTCCCCACTTCCAACGAAATACTCTAGCTTAGTCGCTCCATGCATAGAACGAACAGTGCAGGTGACATGGGGTCTCCCTATCGGATCCCCCTTTCGGGCTTGAACTGCTCCAAACGCGTCTTATTCCAGACAATTTGCTTGTTTGTAGTTTGAACGCACTCCATAATGATTCGCGCCCATCCTTCGCTAAAACTTGTGTCGAAAGGAGAGTCATTAATAAAATTCTTGGAAAGGCGATTATATGCCTTTTCTAAATCAATTTTTATAGCCACTAGCCTGATTTTTCCTTTTCTTAAGCGCATATAATGCATAGCTTCCTGGTAAATGATAATATTGTTTGAAATCTGCCTTCCAGGGACAAACGAGCTCTAAAACAGACCAATAATTTTTGGTAAGATGGCCTTTAGCTTGTTCGTGATCGTTTTTGTAATTATTTTGTAAAAAACGTTGCATAGACACATTGATTTCAAAGCATTATTAATCTTATTATGAGGAGGGTTTAGTTCGAGTCTTACTTTGAAAGAATGACGATGCTCTCGACTAAACGTTCATCGGATGATCAGGATCTCCTGGAGCGTAGCACCAAGAAATCCAAGCGAGATGTGGGCACATCATCGGAATCGGCAGGGGAGACGAGAGATGTGGTACAGGAAACGCCTATGGAGGTGATTCAGGCCTACGAACCTACAGAGGAACATCCATGCAGAGTCTCGTAGCCCTTATCGTATAGGGATACTGTGACTGGATCGAGCATTCCTAGTTCGCTTGCGGTGGAGAGGGACTAGGCAGATGATGAGTGGTGCTCACACGGCGAGGAGGCAGAAGAGGACGATGACCCGCTTTGCCCGATCATCAGGCTAACCAACAAGGAGAAGGAAGAGCTCCGGAAGCCGTGGCGGCAAGCATTGATAGTCAAAGTCTGGGGGAAGCAGGTGGGTTTTTCCTACCTTCTTAGACGCCTGTGCGCCTTGTGGAGGCCAAATAGAAGCTTAGATCTGGTCGCTCTGGACAATGATTTTTACCTAGTTAAGTTCGGATCTCTAGAGGATCTGTAATTCGCAAAGTTTGAAGGCCCTTGGATGATCCTAGATCACTACCTGATCGTGAAAGAGTGGACGCCAGATTTTGATCCGATGTCCGATAAGACCGAGAAGGTTCTAGTATGGATTTGGTTCCCCTGTTTACCTATTGAATACTATATAACGTTAATTTTTTGCAGAAGATCGGGAAGAAGGTCGGGCGCCCCATACCGGTGGACCATGCCATAGGCCAAGCATCACGGGGGAAATTTGAGCGAATGTGTGTGGAAATCGATATTTCCAAGTTCAAGCTTCGGAAGCACATGCGGTTTATTGCTTACGAAGGGATCCATCTGGTCTATTTTAATTGCGGCATGTATGGCCACAACACCAGTCTTGCCCGGTAGGCAATACCCTCACCATCGCCAGTGATCCTCAGAAGCAAAAGGACAAGGTAGACGACGCATCTGGAGGGAAGCATCCAAAGGAGACAGGAATGACAACGACTTCTAAACCACGCCTGGAGGAAGAAAATGCTCCCTTTAGTTCGTGGATGTTGGTTACAAAGGAGAATAGATGATCGAGATCACGGGCAGAGAATATGACAGAAATCGCAATACAGGAGACTAGTCGTGGCAGACACATTCCCGTTTGCTACCACTAGTAAACCCGGAGGTGGAGGTTGTGAACAATGGAGGATCAGAGGTCGTGCTGGAAGTAGCGAAGGAAGGCGCAGGAGGGGAGCACTGCCCAGGGGGTTACAGCAAGGCAGAGTGACGGGGCTCCAGTGGTGCAGATAGTGGCGAGGGTTCGAAGTCAGAGAAGGGCGAACGTTGTGGTGAACGAGAAACAGATAGCGAATCAGGAGGTCACCATGACGCCTGCCCCGGTGTCGGGGAGAATGGGGTCCTAGAGTGTGTTCTACGAATAGAGGCAGTTCACGAAGTGCAATGGAAGAGGACGAACACGTGGTCGTTAGGGGCTCGCGAGGTGGCACTCGTATTGAATCCGAAAGGATCACCCCGAACCCGATGGTTGATGTAAATCCCATGCGCGAGTTACTTCCTCATCACTTGATAGAGAAAGTATCATTTTTTAGTCCATTATCTATAATACATGTATTAATTTTAGTCCTTGACTATTAAAATTTTTAAATTAAGTGTATGACTATTTAATTTGTATCTCATTTGGTCCTTTACTATTAACATTTTCAAATTAAGTGAATGACAATTCAATTAGTATCACATTTAGTCCTGCCGCTAAATTTTCTGGTCAAATTTATAGTAAAATCACCGGTGACCGGCTAATTTATTTAATTTTTATTTTAAAAATTATTTACGACATGACTAAAAAAAAATGACAGGACTAAAAGAAAAGACAAGACTAAAAAAAAAAATTTGTCGGCCACCCCCGACCCTATGGAGACGAAGGAGGAAGGGGGAAAAAATTTTAAGGTTTTTTTTTAGTCCTGTCGTAAATAATTTTGAAAATAAAAATTAAATAAATTAGCAAGTCACCGGTGACTTGGTCGGAAATTTTGCCGAAAAATTTAACGG